AGTTACGTCTAATTTGTTTTAGAGGGAACTTTAACTTAAATTATAAGTGGTTTATTACAAATTCTATATATTATATATATAATATAATATATGAAAGATAAAAATTTGGGGGGGCCAGGGCCACTCTAAGCATAGGAGTGGCTCCGCCACTGCATAAACGTTTTATGTGGGGTCTCTCTCCCCTCACTAAAGCCTACTATGCATAATTATTATTTATTTTGGCCTTATGTATAATTAATTGATTTTCTCTCTTTTGAACAACAAAAAAAAAAAAAACAATCTATGTAAAGAGTTTAGAAAAAGAAATGCAAAAGAAGTCTATCCTTTTACCCCCATCTTTTTATCTAAAGAGAATACATGATGGAGTACACTTTATGCTTTTTATTCTCCTTCATAATCTTTTCCAAACAATAATTTCTCAATGCTTAACCTTCTCCTTTGGACAAGAAAAAAATAAATAAATATTATGAGAGAATCAAAATTATGATAAAATATTGAGTCGATGTTGCTTTCATTAACCTTCTTTCTTTTTTGGGTCAATTTCATTAAACAAGTTGGTATTTGATTAACATAAGAAAAAACTACTACTTCCAATATTTCAGAATATGTGATTTTGGAAATACCAGCAACTTGTACATTTTGTTTTTGGTCCGAAGAGAACTTCTAATTAATTATGAGAAAAGTCACTTTCATCATCCTTGTGTGAGATCCCATATCGACCAACAGAGAAGGGGTGATGTGCCTTATATGTACATGCCCACATCCATCTAGCACGAGGCCTTTTGGGAGCTCACTGGCTTTGGAGTCATGGTGTGAGAACCCGTAATATATATATATATATATATATAAAATAATTATTTATTAATATGAATTTTTCTTATTTAAATATTTATTGTGAAGACTTATATGTTATTAAATCTTAAACCTAGTATGAGATTATCCCTTTAGTTGAAAGATGACACCATTCTTGTTATCATGTGTAGAGACTTAGAATTGGTTTTAATCAAATCATCATTGCCATGCCACCTTGCATGCTAGTAACAAGTGGTGTTGTGATATCATTGGCCAAAGGTGGATAACTCACATTATTCTCTCATCTTTCTATCTTATCTTTTGGTGGTAGTGTTGTGATATCATTGGCCAAAGGTGGATGACTCACATTATTCTCTCATCTTTCTATCTTATCTTTTGGTGGTTTAAAATATTGTATATTTAAATATTATTTGGGTGCATGCATAGCCTCTCCTATAAATATCATGCTTCCTTACTTCAATCATTCATTCCAATCCTTCAAGAGAGATTTCTACCATGAAGTAGTGAGAGAGAGAGAGAGAGAGAGAGAGAGAGAGAAACAAGATGAAGAGTGGGTGTGTTTGTCTTGCAATATTTCATACTTATCATGGTGAGGGGGTTATGTAATGTGTTCTAAAAGTTCTTATTTTGTGATAAATGTGAAAATCATGGATTACCATGGATTTAATCTATTTACAAATCTCTCTCTATTTTCAAGTCAAGCATGTCTAATTTGTTCAATATTTCACACAATATATATATTATTTGGAGTTTTTGTGAAGTATGTATTATTCATGGAACATGAGAACTTCAGTGACGGGGTATCCAAAGGATATATGTACCAGACGGGGACATAGGGCAGTGAGGCCAATAGGGGTCACGTGCTGGGTACAATATGTGAAGGATAATCAAGATATGAAGTAATGATGTGCTATGATTTGGATTGTGTATCTTTTTATTATATTTTTCTAGAGCGTGTAAAATAACATTTCTTGACTGGCATATTACATAATCTACTCACTGAGCGGTGGTTTGCTCATCCGTCACTTACTTTGTTTTTCAGATCAATTAGTGGGCAAGACAAAGCCGAAACCGGAGAAGTTGGATTAGTTTAGAGTGATAAACTTTTATTTATATCTTGTACCCTTGTAAGATTATTATATATATATATATTTATAAATATAATGGTAATGTATTTTAACCAATTTTTCAGTCTTTTTATTTCTTTCTTTCAATTCACGTACCCTGATTCGGGAATATTCTTTATTTCTAGATCGGGGCATGGCACATGGGAACTCCGAAGTTAAAAGAGTTGGGGCTAGAGCAATCCCAAGATGGGTGACCCGGTGGGAAGTTGCTTGTGAGTTCCCAGAAACAAAACTGTGAGGGCAGAGAGGGAGGCCCAAAGCGGACAATATCGTGCTAGAGCAGAGCCGATCCCCGGGATGTGACACCTTGCCCCTTGTACCATATGTGAAGACACGTACTTGCAGATTTTGTGATGCATATTGGTGCATGCTGAATCCATTAAACCTACATCACGAGGATGTCACCAAAAGTCATACTAATGTAATACGAAGGGACAAAAGTTTCATCGAGTGTGAAGATAAAAGTTGTTGATGAAAATGAGGCAACGATGTTGATTGTGAAAAATATGTTGCAACATTGCTGTTGATTTGGAAACATGTTAATCAACCAATTTCAGGACTAATATATTACATTTGCACATTGCATAGCACTGTGTGCGAACGATAACGAACATGCAACTTTGATGTTGACGTACATGCCGAGTGGAATAAAGTATTTACAAGTTATGTATTTTTGATTATATTGCTTTTAGGTCAACTTTGATGTCAACGTACATACAAAGTGGAATCAGGATTATGTCGAGAATTTATTTCAAAAGATCCATTGGGAATTCAAGTATGAATTGCATGACTACTTCAAGTCTTTTGAATCAGCTTAGCATGCTAAGGAGAACCCTCCCAAGCAAATGATATGGAGAGATAGATCACAATGGCTATATTTATATGCACAATTTCAATCTCCCAACTTTATGATATTAAATATCCAACCGCTTCGACAAAAATCCCTCCAAGTGTGAAGATAAAAGTTGTTTTTGAAAATGAGGCAACGATGTTGTTTGTGAAAAATAGGTTGCAATGTTCGTGTTGATTTAGAAACATGTTAATCAATCAATTTCACGAAGACCTAATATATTACATTTGCACATTGCATCGCAAAAAGATGATGGGTAAAGACATATCACAATGGCTATGTTTATGTGCACATTTGACTATACATATATATTGTATTAATATTCAGTTTACCTATTATAGAGCGATCAAAAGCCAATAAGGAGAATTAATCAAATGATAAGTATGACCATCATGATGGAGCAAAACCATATTCATTGCGCTATCAAAAATACGTAGAAATATGTTTGATAGCGAAAAGAATTGTACTTATTTAACGATTTTAATGCTTGATAGTAGAAGTATGTTTGATTAACGATTTTAATGACGACAATCATACTTATTTAAGTCTCAAAACTGCTTAGTCATGATTTTGTTGACATAAGGATGACAATTATACTTATTTAAGTCTATGTCATAGTTGACGTGCAATTAACAATAATGAAACATTAGATATTTAACATAATACTTGGCACACTCACAATGATCTCATCAATAAGGTCCTTTTCTCTTGTCTTCAAGAACTTCACTCTAATAAGCATGCTTCATTGAACATTTTTTTCCGAATAATTACCCCAAGATGTGAAAGGGCCAATAAGAAGAATCGATCGAAGGAAAAGTATGACCATCATGTTGGAGCAAAACCATTTTAATTGCGCAATCAAAAACATGTAGAAGTATGTTTGATAGCGAGAACAAAATATATCGCACACACAAAAATCGTGCATCGACTACAAAGAATTGTCAAATATTAAATATTAACATTTTAATACAATGAGGTTGAGGCATGAATCTTTAGCCTACATAACGAGAATGTTACAAGAAGTCGTATTAATGCAATATGAAGGGACAAAAGCTCCTCCGAGTGTGAAGATAAAAGTTGCTAATGAAAATGAGGCAACGATGTTGCTTATGAAAAATAAGTTGCGATGTTACTACTGATTTGGAAACATGTTAATCAACCAATTTCATGAAGAACTAAGGGCCTGTTTGGTATCTGATTTGAGTCCAACTTTATAAACTTGATGAAGCCATTGAAGCTTGGGCAAAGTCTCTTAATGCCAAAACTGAAGTTTCATTGGCAAGGCTTAAGCGTAAGGGCGAGAAGGAAGTATCCTCTCCATATAGAGAATTGAGCTCCGTTGAGGATTGTATGGAAATATTGGAGGCCATGGAGGGAGTGAATGATGATGCTTATGTGAAAGCTTTGGATAAGTTTACTAATTCGGATTGGAGGAAGATGTTCGTGAAGATGTCGGATCCACGGAGAAGAGTGTGACTCAATAGCTTACTAAAGTGAACGAGAGTGAATGAGTCTTAATTTATTTAGTAGTAGGTATCTCTCTAGGTGCTATAATTGATTAGTACTGTTTCTTGTTGTTTTTATGGAGTTGCTGCTGTTGTTGTTTTTGTACTTGTTATTTGGTATGTTTGGGCTTGGATATGAGCATTCATTTGATGTTGGTTTCTGCATGGATCTGAACATCTTTGTTAACTTGATATTTGTTATGCAGTTGCTAAACTCATTTGGGATCCTAGCTAAATTTTGTTGAGGATTTATTGTGTTTGGGATCCTAGCTAAATTTTGTTCATGTTTGTCTGCTGAAGGATATTTATCTTTGTTTACCATGTTTTTCTTATTCCTTGTTATATTTGTCTTTGTTATAGATGATGGACTCAAATGAAGTTGACAACAATGATTCAAGTTCTAAAAGCGATTCATCATCTCATTCAAGTTCTTCTTATTAACTACTTTTTACCACCCGTGGTTTAAGGTAAATATGATTAACTACTTTTTTCTTCTTATTATTATATAATTAAGTACTAACATGTCATGGTTTAATTGCCACTTGGTAGGATTGTATTGGTGCTATTGATGGAACATATATCAGTGCATGGGCTCCTGCATCAAAACAAATTCCATATTAAGGCAGAAAAGTTGAGGTGACACAAAATATTATGTGTGCATGTTCATTTGACATGTTGTTCACATATGTTTACATGGATATAAAGCTAAACATGAATATAAAGCTCAAGTTGATCTTCAAGTGCCAAAAGATCCCCATCCGAAAAGTCTTGAGGATAAAATTGAGCAAGACAAAGTAGCTTTTGTTTATCAAAAGCTTCAAATAAATCATTCGGACTCAAACATGCCAAACAAATAAGCAACTCAGTATTTACCTCATTAAAACGATCATCTAACTCCGTAAGTTGCTCATCAATGACATAAATAAAGAGCTCCACACGATAATGATGACGATTTGTCTTTATTGGAGCATTACACATTGACCTCCCTGGAAGTACGAATGCATCATCCATGTTAGGAACATCAATATGATGTTTGTCACAAAATGAAGACACCTCTTCAACCAATGCATCAAATCCATTATTCCTCATCCAATGTAGCTTTTCCTTGCATGATTTCACCAAAGCCATTGCATTCACAATTTCTTGATCTTTCTTTTGCAATGCTTGTGACACATCGTTTGTGAGTCCCAATATAGCTTTCATTAAGAATAAGTGAAACACAAACTGAAAAGTAAGCATTTCCCTTTGAATCTTATTTGCTTCACCGGCACTATCATTGGGATTATCATCAATAATCATTTGAAGCACATGAATCACAGATGAAAACATGGAAATGATGCTAATAATGGTACCGTAATGTGAGCTCCATCGTGTGTCATCGGCATGTATGAGACTTGTTTCTTGATGCAAACCTCGCCCCGTTATAAGACAATCATCAAGTTCTTCTTGGAATTGTGCTCTAAGTGCATCATGCCGATTACAAGATGCTCCAACATGGTTAACCACACTATTAGTGGTTGTGAAGAAAGAGGCAATATCAATATTCTTCTTTGCTACGGCAACAAGTGCTAGTTGAAGTTGATGAGCAAAGCAATGAACATAATATCCACAAGGTTGTTCTCTAAAAATCTTTGTTTTAAGGCCATTCCACTCACCTCTCATATTGCTAGCTCCATCATAACCTTGTCCTCGTAACTTGGAATAGCTCAAACCATTGGAAGAAAAGAATATGTCAATGGCATCCTTTAGTGAACTTGAAGTGGTGTCGGTAACATGTTGAACCCCCACAAACCTTTCAATTACATGCCCTTTGTCGTCCACATAACGCAACACCATAGCCATTTGCTCTTTCACAGAAATATCACGTGCTTCATCCACCAATATAGAAAAGAATCTATCTTTTAAACCACTCATGATAACATCAAGTGTTTCCCCCGCACATGCATTGACAATATCTTTTTGAATCTTTGGAGCTACTAACTTGAGATTGCCCGGAGCATTTTCCAACACAACTTCTTTAACTTTCTCATCATTGTTTGCAAGGAATTGCAATAGCTCCAAGTAATTTCCCCTATTGCTTGAAGTGGCACTTTCATCATTTCCACGAAAAGAAAGACCTTGTCTCAATAGAAACTTAGTGCACTTGATTGATGCAATTAAGCATCTTCGATATGCCACACGAGCTTGTTTGGAGTGTTTGCTCACAGCCGTTTCAATATGTGTATTTTGATTCATCAAATTTGTAGCAGCTTCTCTAGCTTTATTATGAACACTACCAACCGGTTCAACATGCACCTTCATTCTTTCTCTCCCTTTCTTCCAATTCTTAAACCCTGCTCCAGTGAAGGCTTCACTACCCATTTGTTCAAAATTGGATTTAAAGAGATAGTAATAAAGACAAAATGCAGCATCTTTAGATACACTATACTCCAACCAATCAAATTCATCAAATCATTGGGGAATGAAGCGTCGATTAATTCCGGAGATAAGGCAAGTAATTTAGGTTTAGAGTTAGAATTTACCTTGAATTGTGAGTTGGTGGAAGCTAAGGCAAGCTTTTGGAGGCGGCGGCACTGATGGCAGCGGCGGCAATGGAGGAGCTGGGTCTTGTGGGGGAGAGGGCTAAAGGTTTGGGGGGGGTGGAGATTGGGGATTTAGGTTTGAGGGTTTAGGAATGGGTGTTTTGGAGAGGCTGAAGTCGAGAGGGTATTTGCAATCTGTTCTAATTTTTTTTTTTAAAAAGACCTGGACCAAACCGACGTGGTTTTGGCCAGGTCTTTTAAAAAAAAAATTCGCTGGGGCTGTGCCAAAACGACGCCGTTTTGGCCAGCGTGTTTTTTTTAAAAAAATTATACGCTGGGCCAAAACGACGTCGTTTTGGCCAGCATGTGTTAAAAAAAAAAAAACAGAAACGCTGGACTCTTCTTCTTCCTCAGACCAACGACCTTCTCCTTCTTCATCCATTCATGGGGTCACACAGCCATTAAAGGGGACTTTCTACCTTAACTTCATGGAGTATGTAGGGTCGTTTGACCCCATTGACCCCACTGTGGGTCCGTCCCTGCCTGCAATTAACAATAATGAAACATTGGATATTTAACATAATACTTGGCACACTTACAGTAATCTCATCCATAAGGTCATTTTCTCTTGTCTTCAGGAATGTCACTCCAATAACCATGATTCATCGAACATTTTTTTTCAAATAATTGCCCCAATATGTGAAAGGGCCAATAAGGAGAATCGATCGTAGGATAAGTATGATCATCATCCTGGAGCAAAACCATTTTCATTGCATTATCAAAAACACGTAGAAATATGTTTGATAGCGAGAAAAATTGTACTTATTTAACGATTTTAATGCTTGATAGTATAAGTATGTTTGATTAACGATTTTAATGACGACAGTCATACTTAATTAAGTCTCGAAACCGTTTAGCCATGATTTTGTTGACATAATGATGACAATCATAATTATTTAAGTCTATGTCATAGCTGACCTACAATTAACAATAATGAAACATTGGATATTTAACATTATACTTGGCACACTTACAGTGATCTCATCCATAAGGTAATTTTCTCTTGTCTTCAGGAATGTCACTCCAATAAGCATGATTTATCGAACATTTTTTCCGAATAATTGCCCAAATATGTGAAAGGGCCAATAAGGAGAATTGATCGAAGGATAAGTATGACCATCATGCTGTAGCAAAACCATTTTCATTACATTATCACAAACATGTAGAAATATGTTTGATAGCTAGAAGAATTGTACTTATTTAACGATTTTAATGTTTGATAGTATAAGTATGTTTGATTAATGATTTTAATGACGACAATCATACTTAGTTAAGTCCCGAAACCGTTTAGCCATGATTTTGTTGACATAACGATGACAATCATAGTTATTTAAGTCTATGTCATAGCTGACCTACAATTAACAATAATGAAACATTGGATATTTAACATTATACTTGGCACACTTACAGTGATCTCATCCATAAGGTCATTTTCTCTTGTCTTCAGGAATGTCACTCCAATAAGCATGATTTATCGAACATTTTTTCCGAATAATTGCCCAAATATGTGAAAGGGCCAATAAGGAGAATTGATCGAAGGATAAGTATGACCATCATGCTGTAGCAAAACCATTTTCATTACATTATCACAAACATGTAGAAATATGTTTGATAGCTAGAAGAATTGTACTTATTTAACGATTTTAATGTTTGATAGTATAAGTATGTTTGATTAATGATTTTAATGACGACAATCATACTTAGTTAAGTCCCGAAACCGTTTAGCCATGATTTTGTTGACATAATGATGACAATCATAGTTATTTAAGTCTATGTCATAGCTGACCTACAATTAACAATAATGAAACATTGGATATTTAACATTATACTTGGCACACTTACAGTGATCTCATCTAGAAGGTCATTTTCTTTTGTCTTCAGGAATGTCACTCCAATAAGCATGATTTATCGAACATTTTTTCCGAATAATTGCCCCAATATGTGAAAGGGCCAATAAGGAGAATCGATCGAAGGATAAGTATGACCATCATACTGTAGCAAAACCATTTTCATTACATTATCAAAAACACGTAGAAATATGTTTGATAGCTACAAGAATTGTACTTATTTAACGATTTTAATGCTTGATAATATAAGTATGTTTGATTAACGATTTTAATGACGACAATCATACTTAGTTAAGTCCCAAAACCGTTTAGCCATGATTTTGTTGACATAATGATGACAATCATAGTTATTTAAGTCTATGTCATAGTTGACCTGCAATTAATAATAATGAAACATTGGATATTTAACATAATACTTGATACACTTACAGTAATCTCATCCATAAGGTAATTTTCTCTTGTCTTCAGGAATGTCACTCCAATAAGCATGAATCATTGAACATTTTTTCCGAATAATTGCCCCAATATGTAAAAGGGTCAATAAGGAGAATCGATTGAAGGATAAGTATGACCATCATGATGGAGCAAAACCATTTTCATTGCTTTATCAAAAACATGTAGAAGTATGTTTGATAGCGGGAAGAAAATCTGTCGCACACACAAAAATCGTGCATAGGCTACAAATAATTGTCAAGTATTGAATATCGATATTTTAATGCAATGAGGTTGAGGCACGAATCTTTGGCGAGGATATTACAAGAAGTTGTATTAATGCAATACGAAGGGACAAAAGCCCCTCCGAGTGTGAAGATAAAAGTTGCTAATGAAAATGAGGCAACAGTGTTGCTTGTGAAAAATAAGTTGTGATTTTACTATTGATTTGAAAGCATATTAATCTACCAATTTCATGAAGAACTAATATATTACAGTTATGCATTACATCACAATGTGAGCGAATGATAACGAATAGGCACAATGCTCTATTTGCTTTTTAGTTCGGTTTACTTGATTAACACTTGATGCTTTATGCATAGTTATAAAGCAATGATAAATCAATATAAGGATGTAAATAACATTAGTTTGATAAGTACTATAATGATATCAATACCAAAAGCTTGGGTGAAAGAAAATGAGTACACAAAAATGTCCATTTATGTGCGACATCTCTATCAAGTATCTCCAATGAGGAGTTGGCTAAAGTCTCCTCAGCTGATGGGAAATATTCGAAAGTATTTACAAGTTATGTATCTTTGATAATATTGCTTTTAGGTCAACTTTGATGTCAACGTACATGCCGAGTGAAATAAGGATTATGTCGAAGATTTATTTCATAAGATATATCGGGAATTCAAGTATGAATTGCATGACTATTTTAAGTCTTTTGAATCAGCTAACATGCTAAGGAGAACCCTCCCAAGAAGATGATGGGAAGAGACATATCACAATGACTATGTTTATGTACACATTTTCAGTCTCCCGAGTTTATAGTATTAAATATGCAGTTTACAATTCCCTAACATATTTGTTTTAAAAGTTCAAATGTTTTGACTATACATATATATTGTATTAATATTCAGTTTACCTATTGTTGAGCGATCAAAAGCCAATAAAGAGAATTAATCAAATGATAAGTATGACCATCATGCTGGAGCAAAATCATTTTCATTGCATTATCAAAAATACGTAGAAATATGTTTGATAGCGAGAAAAATTGTACTTATTTAACAATTTTAATGCTTAATAGTATAAGTATGTTTGATTAACGATTTTAATGACGACAATCATACTTAGTTAAGTCTCGAAACCGTTTAGCCATGATTTTGTTGACATAATGATGACAATCATAGTTATTTAAGTCTATGTCATGGCTGACCTGCAATTAACAATAATGAAACATTGGATATTTAACATAATACTTGGCATACTTACAGTGATCTCATCCATAAGGTCATTTTCTCTTGTCTTCAGGAATGTCACTCCAATAAGCATGATTCATCGAACATTTTTTCCGAATAATTGCCCAAATATGTGAAAGGGCCAATAAGGAGAATCGATTGAAGGAAAGTATAACCATCATGCTGGAGCAAAACCATTTTCATTGCTTTATCAAAAACACATAGAAATATGTTTGATAGCAAGAAGAAAATCTATCGCACACACAAAAATCCTGCATAGACTACAAATAATTGTCAAATATTGATTATCAACATTTTAATGCAATGAGCTTGAGACATGAATTTTTTGCCTACATAACGGGGATGTTACAAGAAATCGTATTAATGCAATACGAAGGGACAAAAGCTCATCCAAGTGTGAAGATAAAAGTTGCTGATGAAAATGAGGCAACGGTGTTACTTGAGAAAAATAAGTTGTGTTGTTACTACTAATTTGGAAACATGTTAATCAACCAATTTCAGGAAGAACTAATATATTACATTTGCGCATTGCATCACAATGTGTGCAAACGATAACAAACAGGCACGATGCTCCATCTGCTTTTTGGTTTGGTTTACTTTATTGACACTTGATGCTTTCTACATAGTTACAAAGTAATAATAAATTAATATGAAGAGGTAATCAACATTAGTTTAATAAGTAATACAATGATATCAATACCATAAACCCCGGTGAAAGAAAATGAGTACACAAAAATGTTCATTCATGTGCGACATCTCTATTAAGTATCTCCAATGATGAGTTGGCTAAAGCCTCCTCAGCTGATGGGAAAAACTCAAAAGTATTTACAAGTTATGTATCTTTTATTATATTGCTTTTAGGTCAACTTTGATGTCAACGTATATGCCGAGTGGAATAAAGATTATGTCGACGATTTATTTGTGTGTTGTCTCATAGCCCATCAACAACAACATCTTGTAGTGTTTTCGCATAACAAACAGAGTACTCGTTACTATTATCTTTGTATTGTCTCCTTGATCTAGGAATGAAGTATTTGAAAGCAGAAGATTGAGGAGTCAGAAATTCATAAAGAAGAAAATCTTTACTTTTTATCATCCAATGAACAATTAATGCTAGTTCATGAGACAATTCTAAAGAAATATTTTTCTAATCATGTCACTGTTGGAAGATTTCTTTTCCTTTTTTTTTGTTGGTGGCTTTTTTTTTCTTTCAAACTTTGTTTTAAATAGCAAGATGATTCCATACCTAGTTCTGATGAAGCCATTCTTATGTAAATATCTTGCCCATTTATATTAGAATCAGAGGCGGCCCACGGCATGTGCGGGCTGTGCGACCGCACAGGGCCCCCAAAATTTAGGGGCCTCCAAATGTTTTAAAAAGCCCAGCAATATATTATATATTTTTTTATTCCAAAAATATTACTATCATTTCCTGGATAGATTGTTCCTTCTTCACAGGGCCCCCAAAATTTAGGGGCCTCCAAATGTTTTAAAAAGCCCAGCAATATATTATATATTTTTTTATTCCAAAAATATTACTATCATTTCCTGGATAGATTGTTCCTTCTTCACAGGGCCCCCAAAATTTAGGGGCCTCCAAATGTTTTAAAAAGCCCAGCAATATATTATATATTTTTTTATTCCAAAAATATTACTATCATTTCCTGGATAGATTGTTCCTTCTTCACAGGGCCCCCAAAATTTAGGGGCCTCCAAATGTTTTAAAAAGCCCAGCAATATATTATATATTTTTTTATTCCAAAAATATTACTATCATTTCCTGGATAGATTGTTCCTTCTTCACAGGGCCCCCAAAATTTAGGGGCCTCCAAATGTTTTAAAAAGCCCAGCAATATATTATATATTTTTTTATTCCAAAAATATTACTATCATTTCCTGGATAGATTGTTCCTTCTTCACAGGGCCCCCAAAATTTAGGGGCCTCCAAATGTTTTAAAAAGCCCAGCAACCCAGCAATATATATATTTTTTTTTATTCCAAAAATATTACTATTATTTCCTAACGGGCAGATTGTTCCTTCTTGATTCTTCTTCCATCTTCCGTCCAAACACAAATCTCCTTTACTCTTTGGCAAGTCAAAAGGCGCTCTGTGTGCATCTCTTCTCTCAAGTCTCCACCACACCTCTCTCTCTCTCTCTCTCTCTCTCTCTCTCTCTCTCTCTCTCATATTAGAATTTAGAAATTATAAGTTGCATTTGGAATTAGCCATCATATGATTGCAAGAAGAAACCTAAAAAATCAGGTGAATCTCTATCCCTAATTTGTCAATGCTTTTCATATATTGTTTTTGTAATTATTTTAACAGACTTTTTGTTTTGTGAAAATCAGGTGAAACCGTCAAAATCAGATGATAGCTGCAAAAATCAGGTTCTATTGTCCTCTTTTTTTGTTATGATGTGTGTTATTTTGCTATATTAGAAAAATGTTTAAAAGAAAACACTCATCTGGATATAGTAAGCGCCAACAAAAGAGAAGAGTTGAAGAATTAACTCAATCTCAGAGAGGTGCTCTTGATAAATTCATTATTAAAGAACCACAAGGTTTAGTTGAAAATCTTGAAAATGTAGGTCATGATGAACAGGCTAATGAAAATGTGGAAAACTTAGGTCATGCGCTCAACCATGTCACAAGAAAGATTAAATGGTTTAACTTTGATATCTGTTGAAAGTGATTTCTTGGAAGAACTTGATTGTACTCGTTTTATTAATGATTTTGCAGCTCAAAATGCAAGGAGGACAGTTTTTAGATGATTCTGTAGCTGGTTTGGTTGCTGGTTGATGATTGTACTTGCTTGGGTTCTTGAGTGTTGCTGGTTTTGAAGTATTTTGCTTCATTTTGCTGGGTGTAGTTTTTTTGTATGTAAAAGAAAATTGAATAGATGTGAGTGTGTGAAAATAGACGAAGGATGATCTTGATTCTATTTGTCTAATGTAATTGATGCCACATAATGATTTCGGTTTAATATATTTATGATTTATGAATTTTAAAATTTGAAAAATTGTTATTTTACTTATACATATAGGGCCTCATCAGCTTTCTTTGCACAGGGCCTCTATATCTAATAGACCGGCTCTGATTAGAATATCTTATATCAATCATATCGCTGAACCAGAGCAAGCACCCCCTTCCTCCATCTCGGATATCCAAAACCAAATTTGCAAAAGCGATGCAGGAGCAGTTGTTCATGCACATCATCTCACATTCCTTGAGGTTCATACTTGTGTTATACCAGGATTGTTCTATACTTGGCAATTTCACCCCAAAGTACTTCTTAAAGATGTCTCCACTGCAATTCAGTTGAGTCTTTCTCACACAGCTATATGACCAATCCACCAAGTCCCAGTCTTGTTGAAAGTTTGGTATAAATCCTTTCAAGCAGCTACATACTGGGGACTTGGTTTCCATCACTCTCGATGTAGCTCAGCCCAAATCCATCTTGAGTTAACGCCAGCCTGAAAAGAGTTGAGCTGTTGAGAAGCTTATAACCATAATATCCTTCATCATCATTATCCAACACAAATCATATGTGTACGAATGGTTTGGATTTAAATTATGCATCCCACTAAATTGGATTCCATTCCATGGTGCAGTCCGATATTTTATAACAGAATCCTCCCTCAGAATTAATTCATGGTATCCATCAGGACCAAGTTGATATGTATAATTTCCTTCAGAAGGATCCTGGGGCTTTTCCAGGGTGTAAGATGCCATTTAAAACTTGTGATTTTGTTCCTAACAAGCTTCATACCTGGTATTAATGTATCACCTGGGTAATCAAACTCTGCCATAAAATATTATCACGGTTATTATGACCATTGCCATCTATCACAACAAGATTTCCGGAATCCAAAGGCTGTGCCATTGGATTCTGTGCAGAACTTGATGTGTTGGAAGACCAAACTGTAGTGTTCTTATGGGTGACAAGGACAAGAATTCCAGGGCTGCTCACCTTGAGTACACCTAATGAACCAGTGAGGGGTGTGTTTCTGTTGGCAATCCATAAAGTGGTGGTAACCGATATCTTCTTGTACCATATGGCCACGTACCGGTTTTTTGAAGCACCAAGACTGAAAAATTCAAGCTCAAAAGTTCTGCCAATTGAGACTACGGTCTCACCATCTGCAATGGACTCAAAATTTTATGAAGCAAATTGACGGAAAGATGGAAGGTCAAAAATACATCTACAAAAAAAATTTCTATTAAGACTTTCATGATTATGGAGGGCCTCCATGTTGGCCACTTCTAGATCTAAGAATGTAGTTTACTTGAGTTAATTGCCTACCGTTGAGTCCTTACTGCAATTATCAATTTTGAATTTTGATTGGTAATATGAATATGATTGTGCAAAGGGGAACATAGTTCATGTGAGACTTTCATAAGGCACATGAAAAAGAATTAAGAGCTAGAAAATTTTACACAAAGGACCCCTCCTTTTTAATCTCTTTTAATGTTTATACATATGGTACATGAAAATTTTATGCAAGTCTCGTCCAAATAATCAAACAGGGATACAGGAAAATGCATGGGAAACAATTTAGTGCAAGTTCTTCACGTTGCCCCATGTAAATGCGATTCCTTTTCTCTACTGACATGCTTGCATATTTTACCATTGCTCAATCCTTCATTGGAATGGTCTCTCTGAAATTCCACAGCCACAAACGTTAGAGCTGAAGCTGGAATACCATGTAATCATCGGGACGCTACCTCTGAACCTTGCTTCATTGAGATGCCAGAGAGCAGCAAAGGATTTTCATCGATTTTGCCCGCTTCAGATGTGTCCTCTCACTGGTAACAGACACATTGCGAATCTGAACCTGAATACATGTGCTTTCTAACTCAGCAATTCTATGTAAAGATGCTTGTTCAATTCAAGCACAGCGCTTACACTCTTCTTCAAGCAAACCTGTCATTCGGTATCTGAGCTCAGCCATTTCTTGAGCTAGATCCTCTGCTTCTTCCTTTGCCTTCAACTTTTCCTCTTTCAGTTCTTCCTAACAACCATAAGTAATGTAACATTTAGAAGATATAATCTACTTAACAAAACCTCAAAACTCTGAAAGGACAATAACCTTAATTACAAAATAGACTTAACCACTCGCAATACAACAATTAAAAAACCAAAAAAACCTAAGGCGCCAATAAGAACTCTTGCTCTTGCAAGAGGCCAGAACTCATACATAACACTTCACATGCCACAGACCTCTAGCCTAACCCACATGCCCCACTTTCTCTTAACACAGAGACAGTAGATGTAAGATCTACAGACTTCATGACTGGGAGACAATTCAAACTTATCCGTAATCAAATAAGTAATAAATTGGTTGAGAACCCCTACAGGTGAGTGAGTGAGCGAGGGAGGGCTAGCAGCAAAGTGAGATACTGGTGCCCCTGTTAACACCCACATTGGCAAATACGGTATGCAAAGAAAATATAAACATTATCCTGATCAACCCCAAGCTTTGGGATTGTGATTCTTTCAACATGTCTTTTTATTTCTTTAGCTGCATACAAATCAAGTATTTTTTAAAGTAAATAAACATATAAATAAGGTAGTAGTAATTGGGAATGAAATTTAACAACTTCCACAAGGTAACAAGATGGCAACAGCAAGTCAAATAAAAATATAAAAAAACCAAAATTCCGTGAGAAGTATGCTCTAGTTTAAAAACAAGCAGTAAAACCGTACAAATCAAGACTCCAACCAATACAATGGAAATGGAATGTATTGGCACAACTATCTCAAGATGCTTGTTATGACATAATTCACTGTCAATTCTTACGTATATAGCTAATCCAGTACCAATATATTTTTTGTGTCACACAATATCCTGTTTGGCTAAAGGTTAGTCAGCTTGGAAGGTTGTTAGCTGACGTGTCATTATGGTTAGACTGTTATTGTAATCCCCGTGATTTCTGCTGTAGTATAAAGTCTGTAATCCCATGTGCATTGGTTTCATTCAATGAGAAATACAGAAATCAAAAAGTAATATTTCCTCCAAATTCCTCTCTATGAATATTCTAGAACTCTCTGTCTTCTTCCTTAAACTCTGTTAGCATATCCAAGCAAATCTTCTCTCTTCTGTTCCAAACAAGCCATCTTAAAAAATAAACCGAAAAATAAAAGGATACAAAAATCACACCTCTCTACATCTTGTCCCAATTTGTAGGAGTCCTCAACATCAAATGAGCTGTCGCTATTGCTGTTGGTGCTGCTTGACAATTGTGCAAAAGTAAGCTATACAACTCCACCAATGAAGATCTTTGAGCCATAATGAAGCCGAATTCAGGTTTCAGGATGCGGTTATCTGTTGAGAGGCTCTGATTGCTACTCCAACTTCTGCCTGTTTCTTCACCATAGCAGCATGCTTCTGACCAGCAAGATGAGAACTGAAAACTGTCTGACTATTGCACACCACATTGCATACAGTACACATTCTAACCGCACCAGCTGCTGCTCCTCCTGATATGATCTTTCGCTTCTTTGTCTCCAAATCCTCCTCTGGCTGGGAACCCTTGACTCCTGGCTTTTCCATTGGTCCAATTATAGCATTTGTTGCAGCTGATGGAACATTTGAGGTTGAGGCACTGCCATCATTCTTTAACTTTTCAAGTTGCTCCAAGTTCTTCTGATGTTTCTTTCCAACTAGGTGTTTGATGTAGGTGTCATTGCTGTTACAATTGACTTTACAAACTTCACACCATGCAGACTGAACAAGTTTGATTTTATTTGGATCTTTACTCCAAATGCCAGTAACTTCAGATTGAGCTGCAGCAAAATATGGGCCAACATTTGGAGCCACTAAGCTAGCCTACATAATGGAAATAGTAAAAGTAAGTAATATATTAATAATCAAAAAAAGCAAAAATCACAAAATAAGATAAATAAGGCCCACTTGAAGGAGACATATAAGAAAACATTGAGAGTCCAAAAAATAACATAAAGAATGCAAGATCCTCTAGAGGACTCACATGATACAAGCAAGTGTATCCAAAATCACTCGTAAAGACTTGAGGGCACCTAAATACCATATCACAGGTGAAAGAAAAAAAACCAAATACTGAAATGCGGACACTATGGAAAGATGTATGGTAAAAGTGACAGAAGAATCTTAAAAGGAAAGCTAGTTAAATTGTTATTTACCTGAGCCTTGTGCCTTTTACCAGCCAAGTGCTTAATGTAAACTTCTTGGCTATTGCAAACAACGTTGCATATTGTGCAAACCCCCACAGAATCAACTGCTGCACCACCATTCACAACCTTACGTCTCTTTGTTTCCAATTCTTCACCAGCAGCCACACCTGAACCCCCAAATATCACTTGCCCACCTACACTGCTTGTTTGGCTTGGCAGACTGATATTGTTTAGAACATTAGAGACTGCAGCAGTGGGATTATATTGCATTCTGATTTTTTTCTGGTGTTTCTTTCCCAATATGTGTGCCTCGTAATTTTCTTTGCTACTACAACTGATATTACAAACATCACACCGATTTGTCACATTGCTATTCCACAAAGAATTTGAAGTGGTGGGCACTAACAAACTCTCATTCAGAGACTTGATAGACTGCAAACCACAAAAAATGGTTTTCAATGTGACTTTATATATTGTAATCGTACATATACTAAACAATGCGAGCAGATGGGAAAACTTATGAATCTCTGAATTAGACATGAAACATACTATGAACATGCATCATAAGAGTATTAGAATACACAATCCACAAGTGGATGCACACATAATACACTTAAATGACCTAAACTAAACTGAGTAATGCGAAAATGGAGCAATGCTTTTGAAAAGAAGACATCCAATCTAATTTTCCACTCTCGCATACCACAGCACCACTCGATACACCACATAAACACATCAAAACCAATAGAATAGGATCACAAAACAAATACATCACAACCCATTTAGGGAAAAGAGCCCAAGAGTTATATTATGCACCAAAAAACCGAACTTGAATTGAAGAAAGGCACTTACAGCTTCGTGTCCAATGGGTTCAGCTTGTTGGATAGCCCCATTCTGAGAACCAGCATTTGGGTCTTCACCAAATGGCGTTTGAGCTTGGAATACAACATGGGTCCACGAGTATGAGCCTGAATTGGCATTTGGTTCAGTTCCAGGCGGGCGAAGGGCTGGATCGAAGGCTAATGCAGAAGGAACCACTGGTGGAGGAAACAACCAACGTTGGTTATTGTTAGGGTTTATGGTGTTGGATTGATAAGGAATGTGATAGTTGAAATTGGTGGAATCTTGTGAAGGATTGAACATTTGGAAGTGTGAATTTATAGTGAAGTTGGAATTAGGGTTAGTGTATGATAGGATTGTGGAGTGGTTCGTTGAAGAAGGTGTTGGGTTTGCAGACATGTGCTCTGGAAACGTAGGGAGTGAAGTTGGAATTAGGGTTAGTGTATGACGGGACTGTGGCGTGGTTCATTGAAGAAAGTGTTGGGTTTGCAGAAATAGTATCTGGTGCTTTGGAAATGTAGGGAATGGGGGTTTGGGTTGGAAAACCCCTTTCAACAATAATTTGGGCTACTAGTTCAAACTTCAATCATTTGGGCTATAATTTGGAAAACCTTTTCAACAACAATTTGGGCTACGAGTTCAAACTTCAAAATTTTAGCTGTAAATTTTGAGGGACCAAGATTTTCCAATCAAAATTCAAGTTTCTTAGATGTAAATTTCATATTTGTTCTAGTCTCTATTAAAAAAAAAAAACAAAGGAAGTTGTAAATTTCACTATCTTTTAAATACTTTAAAACATGGTTCCACTCAGTATTATGGCACATTATTATTCTTGTTTGAGTTTCATGTTCCTTCCTCCTACATATATGAATATTGGGCAATATTTGCAGACATTGCTAAGTTTCCTTAGTGTTCATTTTTCAGAGATAAAAATTTCCCCTTGGCATGAGTATGATATCAATTTATCAAATGAGCTCATCAGCCCTGGCCCACATCTAAACCAAAATCCTAAGACCCTGTTGACTTTGTATTAAAGTTGACTCCATTGCTGACCAAGACAAAAGCTTTTTTCTTGCTTGGATCTGAGAAAGGCCACTAATCTGATGAGTGATGACTTATTTCTTACATCTAATAGGACTGTTGGGACAAAGAGGTGTTGACACGTGGAGAGAAGATGGCAATGACACATTCTTCCAACTTTAATTTAAAAACTTCATTAACACAAATATGAAATAAGACTTAATACCTTTTTGTCACTTAAGAGCCTAACAATATGCAAAGCTTTCTATCATTCTATTCTATGTACAAGCACTCACCACCCACTGCCATCTACCACAGCAAGTGAAAGCCAAAGTGAAACAACCACTCCTGACTTCTCCATGCTCTTGTCAAACAAAAGCACTTAAATCAAAAGCTGCCCAAATATATAAATGTATAGCTCTATCAAGAGGTAACCAAAAACTCTCATGCAATGTGTGTTTAGTATGTTATCGCTCGTCTCAATAAAAAAGAAGTACTCCAACAAAAAATCTCATGTCTAAAAGGCCAAATTGATTATTGGGGAAAAAATATTCCGTGCTTTAGCAGCCTTGCCCGCCTAAAATAAAACCCATTTGCAGTTATTTTGAGGGCAGCAAAGTTCGCGTGCTGAAGTGACTTTATACTTGCATATAGACACTTGTAAGTTGGAGTGGTCCAAATTTAAAAAAAGATGAATTATATTCTAGTGAGCATAATGATATTAGTTAGAGTAGAGAAATATAAGCATCACTTAACATACTAAGTTTGAGAAAGAAGTGAGATTGGTTGTCATGTTTAATGGTAGGTGACTAAACAACCACCTTCACCTTGAGCTAGCTCACATGCCATCTTTGTGCACATTATATATATATATATATATATTTAAATAAATCTCTTCATGACTTCATATAGCATCCTAATTTTTCAACACCTCACTCATTTCTCTTTGATGCCATTAAAAAATAATAATTACTTTCCTATATTAAAAAAAAAAAAAAAAGAAGGTACAATTCTTATAAGAGAATACGAAATTCAATTACAGTATTGAAGTTTCAAGGTGAAACAAAATTAATGAGTATGAGTTTTAAAGGAAATGAGATTTATATGGTATACTGTAACAAAAGATGGAAATGGTAATTGAGAATTTGTTGGAAACTGGCAATGAGCAGCAATGCCTCAGCAAACTCTAAAATCTGTAAAGAATTAATGAATTAATGTCCAGAAATATGTATCTGTACACTCTTGAATCTTTATTGGATTGGAAACCATCATGGGCAGGACTTAAAGAGGAAACTCAGTTGGAGATGAGGCCAACAAGGGCCTCATGCTTATGGCTGCTTCCAACCCACCATGGCTTAAAGGCTGCAGCATGGCTGCTACTGCTCTCTTCTTCAACAGGAGCAGGGAGATTGAGATCAAGAAAGTCCCTGACTTCAGGTGCTGCAGGTTTCTGAATTACAATGGTTTGGCTGTTTTTATTCTCAGCTGAACCACCAATCAAATGGGATCTCTTGTGACCACCCAAGGCTTGGCCTGAGGAGAAAACTTTTAGGCAAATTGTACAAGCATGACCTTTACTCTTTGTACTAATCTCAGCTTTAACATCATGCTCAATGGGGTTTTCATTGTTGCAAGACTTGCTGAGCTTACTGTCTGATGTTGGCTCAGGAGAGTGGTCTGTTTCAATGGTGTTTTCACTGCTTTCAACTTTTGAGGCAAAGCATCCTTTGATCTTTTTATGACTTGCTCTATGGCCTCCTAGAGCTTGATATGACCTAAAAACCTTGTTGCAAGTAGTGCACTCAAATTTGCTTCTCTGTTGTGAACTCTTGCAGACTGCTTCAGAATCTAAAACATCACCTCTAGTTGTGCTCAATGTTTTCAGAGATTGCTCTGACCTTGACTCAAAATCATAACCCTCCTGGAATTTTCTCTTGCTTGAATTGCACTTGTTGTTTGAACCCAATTGAGGTTGAGCTAACTCCATTTTCTTGACCAATTTATCATTTTCGGAAAACCCAACAGCAGAAAGTTCTTCTTTTTTCATCCTAGACCCATGTTTTGAAAAATCAGAATCCAAATTTCCAAGCTCCAATGTCTTTTTATTAAGTTTCTTCTTCAGTTTCAAAATCTCAATACCACTGCAGACAGAAACCTTACCCTTAATATCAGCATTAACCCGATTTGTTCGACCTGATGAAGGAGCTTCAGAGAACACAGAACTGTTATCAGAGGAGTCATGTGCTACAAATTTCAAGCCACCCCAGTGACCCGCATCCCTTTTAAGCATCATTAAACACAGAGCAACCTCTTCTTGTTCTTGCTCAATCTCAGAAACAGAGGAAGTGGCAGCATTAGCAATAGAGAAATTGGAAGAGGAGGTTGTTGTGCCCATGTACCTTGTTCTTCTTCGTCTCGATCTTCTTCTCCTATTGGGAGTAGTAGTTTCGTTGTCAGATTGGCTGTCCATGACTAGCTTCTGGTTGGCACAAGTCCAAGAATCTTCTTCTTCTTCCTCATCAAAGCTATTGATGGAATTAACAACTCTTTCTTTCTCTGAGTGGCACTTCATGTGACCAAACAGAGCGTTCCAAGACTGAAACCCTTTACCACATTCTCTGCAAAACTTGACAGGGAGAAGTGAAGTGTCCTCACTTGAATCTGCAAGCCTCCAAGTCTTCTTGGGGTTCTCTCTGAGGCCATAACCTGGCTGGTGATGAGGTCCGGTTTCAAAATCAGAATTAACATTGTTGGCAGATGGGAGTTTAACTTTGCCGATGATGAGTCTTTCCTCTGTTTCTACCGAATTATTGGTCAAGTGAGACCTCATGTGACCTCCCAAGGATCTACCACAGGGAAAACTCTTGCCGCAGAACTTGCATAGATGCTTGAATTGTTGATCTTCCAATTCCATTGGTTGGAATCAAAATTCTTCCAATAAAGGAAATAGTAAAGATCAGCCAAGCTAAGGAGTCTTCAAATCTGATCAAAGAAGTTTACCAAATTCTGAGATGCTTGATCTCATTACACTAAAAAAGAACAAATACTAATGAAACAGAGTACCTCCAAAGAGAAATGACAGAACCCAGATCAGAAAATCAAGGTGAAAGCTCAAACTAGGAGTGAAATTTGCATCAGATCAAGGTCGATGCTGTTGCTCTTTGAGCTAACCAACAAAGAAGAAGAAATCCCAGATTTCACAGAGTTATATTAGCATGAAAAAAGATCTGACAGTGAAATATGTAGTAGCTTTTTTCCTTCCAGAGAATTAGTAGCTCTGCTCTGCTCTTCTCTGTTCTGTTCTGTTCTTGGGTAGTTGAAAATTGAGAAAAAGATACAGAATTTGAAGAGGGTGAGGTGTGAGGTGGTGTTGTCTTGGCTTTGTTGGTAATGATGGCGATGAACAAGCCAAAGAAGAAATTAAAAGTGAGAGTGAGTGAGCGAGCGTTTGTTTCTCTCTCTCTCTCACACACTATTTTCTCTCTCTGTGAACTTGACTATATTTGGAGGAGAAATCCATGCATGGAAGCAAAGATAAAAAAGTGAGAGAGAGAGGTAAAGGAGAGGAAAGATAGCAGCACGTGTACTCAACTGAGGATCCTACGCCAACCCCAATCCAACGGCCAAGATTTGTCCAGCTGAGCATCCCTATGCCTCAGGAACCTACTTAAACTAACTCCCTCTCCTCCTTAACTATTCCTTCCTTTGTCTTGCTATTAAGAAATTGGGCCCCACACACATAAACACACTCTCTCTCTACTCTCTCTCTCTAAACTCTCACCCAAGTGAAAGGTTCCACTCTCCGGCCGTTAACTATCACTTCTTTTTCTTTTTTTCTTCTTCTCATCTCATCAATTGATTATTATAAAAGTGCTTTTATTAATTTTCAAGATTTTTCATGGTGGGTCCCACAGATTAATCCCTCTATCCAGTTCCTTGAGTTTCAACCAAAGCATTTAGCACAGTATTCAACACTCTACCACTGTTGTTTATGTGATTTGTGTGTGATCAGTATAGTTATAAAACCTTCATTTTATATTCATAATTATCCTTCAAAACCAACTTTGATGTGCTTTTATTGGTAAGTGATCAATTGGAGGGATATATTAGGGTACTTCAGATTTGTACCCATGAGCACTCTCTACATGAACATGAACATGAGAATGAGATGCTACAGTAGCCCAGAAAGCTGCAATATTATAGTAGAGCTAAATTTTGGAATATTTGTATGCATCACTCTGAAACTACTGATGCTTCCTCATATTAATTATTATGCCTCCTGATTATCTCCATAATTTACTTTAATCCTTAAACTATTAAAATCCAACTTTACCCCAAGAGCCAAAATGATCAAATCATTAACCTTAACCTCCATGGCTGGAGTAAATTAAGTTTTTTTTTTTTTTCAGGTAACCTTTGAAATATGTATGAAAAAAACAGCAGAGTTTGGTAACCATGATCTCTCTGATAAGGTAATTAATTTTGATTATATTTTCACCATGCCTTCTACAAACCTGCACACTTTCTATATATGCAAACCATATCAGATTTCTTTCTTTTGGAAGCTATCTTTTAAAACAAATGAAAAACCAAATAACAGTCCCGCTCACCTACGGATCATTATGAAATGCAAGGAAGCCTCTAAGTATTAATTCAATCCCTTTATGCCCAGGAAGGGTTTTAAGGCAGCAATATTTTCATATATAGAAGTTGAAGTTATTCTGATCTATAATTATATTGATCTGGAAATAATATATACAGGGAAGATAATATAATTTCTATCCAGATCTTAAATATATGCATGTATTCAATTTTCAACAATATCTAACAAAAAGGCAAAACTAACTTTAAAGAATGGGGTAGCTAGAATCTTATTGTATCAGTACAGTTATAGTTCATCCCTTTTCTGAATCTTGATTTAAGTGGATTTCCATGTCCTACTCACAACCCACTTCAACAAAATATATAACATCATATATATATATAGGTAAAATAACCTATACAGTTCTGTACATGAGAAGAACAATTCAACATATATATATATATATATATATCAGAAAATTTAAAATGATCACTAACTTATAGCATAAAGGGTCTAATGAAATTAACAGAAGTAGATGGGGGCCATAGTTTTGGTAGTTAATTAATAAAAGGTATCTTGCTGATTAGTTTAGGATTAATTCCTAACCCCATGATTCAAGCAAATTAATTATATAAAGAATTAGTACATGCTGCATGTCTAGAGTTGTGGGTGCAGCAGCCCTACAAACAAAGTCAGAAAATTGGGCAGAAGCATGGCCAAAACGAGTGAGGGTGCTGCTGGCCGGCCTTTATTGATGATGATGGAGGAGCCGGCTTTCATTGCTCTAATCGTAATGTTAATGTCTTATTAGCAGCCACTAATCACACTTATTTGGCTGCACAATTCCCTTCCTTTGTGCCCTTTTTGCCGGCTTCTTTAATTAGTACAATGTTTAGCTGTAACCCCTCTGTACTTGCATTTCTTTTTTGATCTTCTTTTGTTGTCTGTTTTTTTTAATGGATCCACGAGATGTGCACATACTATATTATGTCTACTGGTCCATCAGCAGATTCAATTACAGTGTTTCTTTTATGTTTGTACGCGTGTACGTATAATGTACACGCGTTCCATTCGGGAACATACATACGTATAAATACGTACGTGAGAGATATGAATGGTAGCCCACAGAAGACTTCGCTTGAGAGTCAAGAGAGATGGCCCTCCAAAAGTGATGCTCAAAATTGACTAGTAGACTCCTTCAAATGAAAGAATGGCCACAGGCCACTCCTTGTTTTCTGCCATGCCTTGTAACATGTACAAGACTTGAGATAAGATGCCCACTTTGGCTTTATGCTTTCTCAAGCTTCCGTCCCCATTCCTCACCATCCAACACCAAATCTCTCAAACCATCATGGCAGAGAAGAGAACACATATTTTCTGTTTAAACCCTAAACATATTTTCTGTTACTTTCATTTTTGGACACCCTTCCCACTTGTTCTATTCTATATATGTATAGATTCTGCTTGTTAATGAATATATTAATCAATTTTTTTTTTGTGTAATTACCTTAATTTGAACTAATTATGGAGTTTAATTTGGTCCCAACCCAGCAACTAGCTAGGTGGATTTATAAATACTTTATAAATACTTCCGGTCTACATTACCTACTAAATTAAACATGACATCTTGGTGTTGTGGCTATGTGTTTGGAAGATTCACTAATGACTTTCTGATGTGTTAGGATAGAGAGCTGAAAAAACTGAAGGTGGAGTTGTATATTGATCAGAAAGCAATTGTTTTTTTTATTTTTAAATTTCTGGCAGCCACACCAGTTGCCACCAGTTGTTGAACTGCCCACTTTGCTAACATGAACTCCACTCCACTACAGAGATAATTTGAGAAATATTTGTACTTGGATCTAAAGCAGCTGTTTTTAGTATTTTTGGGCTCAGTTGAACTCAAAGTTGCTGCAAATTTTTCAAAATAAAACAAACCGATCACGAGCACAACGATTGGTGAATAATCACATCAACCAAATATTGAATCACACACTCGTTGACCAGAGCACACATCAGTAAAAAGTTGGTAAGAGAGATGCCAACCGTTGATCATTAAATCTGCACATCATTTGGTTTGTTTCATGCTTGATCATTCTCGTTTCATTACAAGTGCAACATTAATTAGTTTGTATATCCACACATTTTATTCGAAATTAATCTCTCGACTCCCACTCACGTCACGTGTATGTCAACAAGAACATGACTTTTTATTTTCCTCTTAATAAACTATTAATTTACGCATTTGTCTCCTTTAAAATGAAGTTTTCTTTTTGGAACATTTTCTTAAATGGCTACAATGACCCTTTTTTTTCTCTCTATCTAGTGAGAAGGAAATAAAATAAGTTGGTTGAAAGGTGTAATGGAGATCATAGCCATGTTGCTTCGATCTTTCACTGCATGAAGCAAACATGTGACAACACAACAGTTACATTGATTTGTCAGTTGGGCTTGGCCGACACCAATTTGACATCAATGATCAAATAATATAGAATCATGAAAAAGTTGCACGGATTATAAGCATATTAAGCTTTAATTGAATCATAAGCTAATATGTATGTATAGTCTTGGCAGTTGGGGCATTTTCACTCGAATGCTATTACCATTAGTGACAAAGTAACAAATTCATTAGCTTCACAGTGAGAAAAATGAACTCAAATTGAGTGGACCTAAGAAATAGAAAAAGAAAAAGTATCTTCAATCTCAATCACACTACTTTTACCTTTGAAAAAAGAAAATTATTTGCTAATATTTGTTTGATGCCAAAATTTCCTTTCTTTTTTATTTATTTTATGTAAATATGGTCCAATCATAAAGATACATGTGTTTCTTCAAGAGTAATAATGGTGCATGTGTAAGTGAGCAAGCACTCACCAGCAAACAAGGCTTAGGGGATACTCAAAAGAGTCAATGAACTTCAAAAAAGAAAACAAAATTGTATAGAAAATAAAAATATCATCATGTGGGGCCCTCCTCCTTACCTAGATAGCCTTTTGGTTGGAAGAGGATGGTTTTGTTTTCCCGTAGGCTACCACTAGCTCTATTATATGATATGAGTATCCTAAACTTGTTTATTTGTTGCCCTTCAGCTCAGTAAGAAACTGCATTGCATATTCCTTTATCCCAAGCCAAGTGGATGATGGAATCAAAGATTAGCTCATATAATAAGACATAATAGCTTTGCTTCTCTTACCTTTCCACATAATTGCAAAACCATTGAGCACCAAAAGTCCCCTACCAAAATTAATCAGGATTCAAGGCATAATTATTCTCTCTGTTTCACTTATCTAGGGGATGATGGATATGAATTAGGCAGATATCAAAGTGAGGAATGAGGGATAAAATCCTCAGTAAAAAAATTTCATTAGAAAAATCATTCAAAATTACATCGCGGTATCTTCGTACGAAGATGACCGTTGCGCTTACAATATATGTATATTTTCGGCAGAACCCTACAAAGATGACAACTCCGGATCTCTTTACGAAGAAGGTATGAATGGAATTTTCCATTTCCACACTAGCTAATGAAAAAGAGACCTAAACAACAAATCACCTTCTAATACACTATTTTACAGGGACGGCGAGCTTCCATCTCCCAACAAATCAGATGTACACAAGGAAAACTCAACTCCTCTAAAAAAATTTCGGAGGAAAAACCTTCAGGCAGACCACCGGATATGAACACCTCAATGCTACTTTTCCAAAACCACCTTGATAAAGGACAAGCAACTCTAGCCCAAGTTTTTACCATCCCTTGCTTTGTAATTCCAAGACTCTTTCCCGAAAACCTCTTCAATCATGTTGCAAGTTGGCAAGAAGTCAACCTTATTCTCAGGGCAAGTCATATACCCGGCATCCCAGATTTTCGTATCACAAGGCTCCAAGACATATTCATGGTCACCTCGGTTGCTAGATCCATTGAAA